TTTACTATTTTCTTTTTAAGTTCAGTGACACGGTGAAGCAACATCTGAGGCTTTTAACTTGAATTTACTTACAAATGTGACTCAAAAAATTATTTTTATTTGCTGTGATTTCTTTTTAAAACTGAAAGATTGCAAAAATAAGTGTATTTTTGTTCTGATTATCTCCCAGGTTAAATGATGGTTTTCATATCTTTCAGATAGTGCTCAAATGGTTTTAATGATCCTTTCTTGCTAGCTTTGTGATGCTCTCCTCATGACAGCATCCTTTGGCAGAAGTTTGTCACTGGATTTACTAATCAACTGTGTTATACTCTGTCTGTGACACACTTGCCTTTTCCTTCAGCACCAGTGGCACCCAAAATCACCTCTGTAGAGTATTACAACCACCTTCTCTACGTCACCTGGACCTATGGAGGAGATGGCCCTGACCTTTCTCATTCCAGGATGCTGCACTGGATGGTTGTTGCAGAAGGAAAGAAAAAAATCAAGCAAGAGTGTAAGTATCAGTGTGGAAGGTGGGTGGTGTTCATTTTTGTGTGTTTTTGTTTGGTTGGTTTGTTTTTCTGAGTTGATAACATAAGAAACCTTGACAACTCTGATAACTTTGTATTACTGAGTTCCAGCAAGTTTGGTGGAAGCCAGTAAAAGTTATTTCCCAGTGTTAGCATGTATTTTGAAACACTTGAGGTCTCAAAACAGCCAGTGGACAAAGTGTTTCTTTGTGTGATCCAGTGAAGGTGTTGATGATTTACATAATTTAAGAAGAGCTTAAAAACTTTTCAGCTTCAGACAGTAAAATATAAAGAGTACTCTTATACACAGGTATTATACTTTTCATTTTTATTTATTAATAAACAGAGTAAGCTGCTGGCTGAATTTTTTTTGTTTGTTGAAGTATTGTCACTTCACTGAGTTATCTTCATAAATTCTGTATTCTTTATTTTATGTTTGAATACGAGTTCCACTAATTGATGGGATGAGGATTTCACCCAGAATGTGAGCACTCAGAAAACTTGCTAGATGCTAAGGTGTGCTCTTAGTGCAGTCTCTTTAGCATTTGGAAAATTGGAAGTGTATTTTCAGCAGAAGTGCAGATTGATCACTGATTTTCATGTGGATTTTTGTGGAACATCCTAGCTTTCATTAAATTCCTTGTGGCTGTGAGAGTACACACATCTGAAGCTTGTTGCAACATGAATCTAATTATATGATTAGGAGAATTGATAATCTTTCTGAGCAGCAGGAGCTTTCAGGATTTGGATTCTTACTTCAAACAAGGAAGAAAACTAGATTTTAATTTTTGTCCTACAAATAAAATATTCTATCAATTGAATTTAATTAAAATATTCACAATTATATACCTCTCTTCCTTCAAAAGGCATGTTTTCTGTAAATTTATTATTCTTTCAGGAAAAATCTGATTTCTCTACCATTCAACTTCATTGAATGCAAAAATTGTAGATTAAATAAATATAGAATAAATGTTTAATGTGAAATTTAAATAAATTAAAACAAAAACTGAGTTTGTAATTCTAGATTAAATAAAAGATTAAAAGTAGAGGGTATCTATAATATAGTATATCTATATTATATATACTATAGATATATATACTATATCTATAAATAAAACTTCAAAACTTTACAAATGTTTGTCTTTATATTCCTTGTAAGACAGGGGAACCCAGAGAGTATTCTTTAGGAAAATCCTGCAAAAACCTACCTATTTATAGCTAACTTTTATGGTTCTGTTCATATGGATAAATATGGGTACATGCTTGCAGGCATTAGGGGGCATACCTGTTCTCCCAGGCTCTGCTAGTCACTTCCAGGAACTGTTTCCTTTAAAACTCATACTATATTGAAATATCATCATATTATTTTATTATGATTGCTAATATGGTTGTTTTTCTTGTGGCATTATTGAAATAAATAGGTAACACTATCAGCCAGTGTTAATTTTTTCTTCCTGCTCCCTGTGTATTTCCCAAGATTCCACAGAAATTGGCCAGTTTTTAGAGAAGTGATGAAAATTATGTGCAAAGCCCTATTGGGCTTTATTCAGAACTGTCACCTTCTCTTGCATGTGAGAATTAAATTACTTTGAAAACCAGCATGAAATTCCTGGATGGGCCCTTTACAGGTAGTCCAGAAGTGCTCTGAAAACAGTGTGTTCCAAGTTCTGCATCTTTCTCCATGACTCTGGAGAAATGGAAGATTACCCTAAAATAAAAGAAGAAGTTATTCTCCATCTTTTGAGACTCACCTCAGTTTAGGATCTGTTTTTGGACTTGCAGATGATTGAAGTCAGACCCTGAGATCTCTTGTCAAGTTAACAGGCTCCAAGAGGTGTTAGCCTTGCCCAGATGGATTTAATTTTCAGGTCTGTAGGATGCATAAAGGCTTACCTACACATGGCTTGTGTGCCATTCTTTGAGGTGTCTGACCTGATTTAAATTTCTCTAAAATTGCAATAGACTCAAGTCCATGGCTTGTTTAGCACTGAGGAATCTGATGTTCTCAGTGGTGTGAGGGAGTACTTCTTTTTTCCTTAAATTTTCACTGGTCACAGAGAAAGTGCAGCCTAAAATAGTCTTCTTTTTGCATTGTGCTAATCTGGTTTTGTGGTTGGTATCAGTGGGAAGTGGTTGATGTCACAAGCCTGGAGCACACAGAAGATGTGCTGTGGTGCACAGGACTTTCTCTGTAGTGTTTTGAGTGAGCAGGTTAATTTTACCAGGCAGTTGTGTGTTTGTGTCGTGTTTAAGCTGGTGTCTCTTAATTGTTCAGGTGACACGCAATGTGATGACTGCAGTGCTGAGCTTGCCTCCTGGGGACATTTACAACCTTTCAGTGACTGCTTGTACTGAAAGAGGCAGCAATACTTCCATGCCCCAACTTGTGAAATTGGGTAAGAAGCTTTGTTTGTACTTTATTAACTCATCCCACTCATTTGACTGTAAAGTAACTCTGTCAGCACCTTCCTTATTTCAGTTTTGTGCCTCTGAGCCCATTTCTTTTGCAAAGCTGTGATTTTCACCTCACCTTGCTGTGAAGGTCCTCTCATGCCTGTGTGTGAAGCCACTCTCCTAAAATGGTTTTGCTCAAGAGGAGCAAGAGTGGCAAAATTTGACTGTAAGTGGAAGTAGGAGAGTGGAAATTGCTTGGTGCCTTGCTGAGAGAACAAGTCAACTTCACAGTTGGTTGCCTAAGGTCTTGAACACATGTAGGTTTTGAGGATGGCAACTCAGGCTTCACAGATGAACTTTTCAATAAAAAGCAGAACTTTTCTTTCTACCTTTCTGTTTCTGACAAGCCTATTTCTGCACCTCTCTGCCACTTGGTCTGCTTTTCTGTCTCCCCTCCTCTCTCTCTGGACATCTGCAAAGTCTTTCAACACCAAAACTTACCCTTAAATACCAATTAATGATAGTAGTCTTTATAAAAATAGTCAGATTTATGAGTGTAGAACACAGCTTCATTTTAAGAGAAATATGTGTAATATACTCATAGAAAAAAAGAAAACTTGAGAGTTTGATCCTTAATGTAAGAGTTTCAAATGTAACTTTCTACCTAATATCTTTCTTTACTTGAGAGGAAAACTGGACACTGCACCATTGTACCTTAAGAAATTTTAGTTCTCTTTTGAATGTATGTGGAGTTGTTGAGCCCTAGGTACCTAAAACACTGAAATTTCCAAGTGTGCCAGACTGCTTTTACAGGCATTAGCTCTGCTGAGAAGGTGGGTAAGGAAGAGTTTGTAATTTCAGTGTGGATTATCTTCTCATTATTATAAGATTCTCCATTCATATTATTATAAATAATAATCCTTTTGTGAGTCATTGTGAGAGAAGTGAATTTAAAGGACTCTCTAATTTCTAATGGGATTAGAGCTCTAAAAAACAACCATTGTCCATTTATGTTTCTCAGTATTCTTACAGTGCTGAGGCATACAGTACAGACACAACAATTCTTGCAGGTCTTCTTACCAAAGGCAATATTTGAAAGAAGTAGAAAAATTCCATGAGTCTCCTTTTCCTTCTGCAAATCATATCCACTGTTTTCCCATACCCACTGAGAGGTGAATGTGTGGGGTTGAGTATCATCCCCTACGACCACTGTCCAAAAGTTTTAGGGTGGTATTTCAAAACACCAGCTAGCTTTATCTTTCAGACAGATCCATAAGCCTTATTCATGTTGTACACCCTGCAGCAGTTGTATCTTCCTGCTCTTTCCTTATGGATGGGCACTCTTACTGAACTTGGATGGATATTTTGCCATTCAGTGTCAACAAAGAGAAGGAGGAATGAATTCCATTTCAATGAATCCCTTCTATGTGGGAATCCAGAGCTTCCCTCTGGCTGCCCTGGAAGGTCTGGGACCCTGGCAGGGGGTCAGAAACCCCCTGTACAGAGCCCCCAGAGACACTGTCTGTTATCTCTGTCCATGGAAAAGAGTTTTCAATCTTACAGGATGAATTACAAGCTCTGAGTGTTTGATATAAGTAATAATTAAGTGTGGCACAGGTGCAAAAGTAAAATTTTAGGATTCTAGATTAGAGGTTCAAAGGGGACAAGATGGAGGAAATTGGGTGTGCCTTGTCCTTTTCTCCTTCTTCATGCCCTCCATGTTTCACTGCAGTGTTGGCATTTTTCTGTTGGTTTAGGCTGGGGACACACTGTCCAACGTAGGTGACAGATATTGGCACGTTATTGTAAATCCAGCACAGGTAGTTTCTGGTATATAATGTTTGTACCATCCCACTGAGGGCAGAGCCCCACACGCTGCCCTGCAGGACTGAGCTGCGGCAGGGCAGCAGAACATGTTAGAGATAAACAGAATAAACAACCTCGAAACCAGCACAGACAAATTATGGCTTCTTCTGTGGCAATGGGGCAGAAAGACAGAGACTTTCTACAATCTCGGAATCATCAATACCTCAGATTCTGACACTTCTAGACTTTTGGGTGTGGGGTTTTTCATTAGATTGAATTGAATTTTTTTTTTCCCTTTATGATGTTTGAACTTTGAATAGACAAAAGTGAGGATATTTTGCCAGAGGTTTTCCCTCTCTCTGTTTCTGAGGGGAGCAATGGGAGTTGTAATTAGCAGTAGTGGAAACTGACTCTAAGTGATAGACGACTCAGCACTTGGCAGTCACTTAAGCATTCCTGCCAAATGTTCTTCCCTCCATGATGTTTGCTTCATCCTGGCAGCTTTCCACCTGCAGAAAAATCAAGCCATTTGCTGGAAGCAAAAGGAGGATTTGCTTGGGACACTGCCCAAATGCAAAACTCGTATGTTAATTGAGGCTATTTTTTTACCTAGAGTGAGGGATGGAATGTGTTTCTGAGTCCAAGAGCAGATATATGTGTGTAATTATGGGAGAAGGGACACTTTCCTGTGTAGCACTGGGACAATATGTGCACTAACAAGCCCCGTGACACACGTGAATGTGCCTCGGTTCCTGCCCAACTCTTTCCATAATGCCAATATGGCTTGGGCAGACTCCAGCCCCAGAACACAGATCTGATTGTTTCAGGATCAGATACATCTCCAAAATGTCTATAACTACTTGAGCACGTACCTTGTGCCAAGGTCCTGTGACAACATCTCACAGAATGAGAATAACAAACTGTGTGTGAAACGAAAAAGAATCAACCCAGAATGTTCTTGTGCATCACCCATTGTATGCAGTGTGTGCAGAATCCCAAAATAGGGTCATTGTTTGAGAATTACAGCTTTAATTAAACATCCACAGAATAGGAGATCTGAAAACTATGCAGAACAACTCAGAAATGTACAGCCCAAATTTTACAATCTCTGAAGGCAAAGCAGAAGGCCCAGGAGGCCTGAGGTATGGAAAGCCAGGCATTTCCAGTACCCATCTTGTGAAGCCATCAGGATGAATATCAGGATTAAGCACTGGTGTTTAATACTGAGGAGAAATAGTATCTCTCATATTAGCACTATGCTTAGGCCATTGGCTCCTCTCCTGGTCCTCAAGATTTTCTGCTATTCTGTGCTCTCCATTCCCCAGGTTGGTTTGGGTGTGGTTACAGTGAGGGGTGACCTCCACAGGGGTCCATGAGCAGGGAGATGGCCCGGAAGCAGCAGCCAAGGCCACTGGACATTGGGATAGGGGAGTGCACACCCCAATCCATGTTTCACAACATTTCTGATGCCATCACTCCCAGGAGATCCTCCATCTATGACTTTTGTCATAGTGCTGTCCTCTGCTCGGTAGACTCTTGTATTTGTTTGCCTGTTGTCACTTCATCCAGCACAAAAGCAATGAAAATCAAAGTAATTAATTGAGGACCTCTGGAGATCTGGATCTCTGCATTCCTACAGATCCAGTAGCCCTTAAATGTTAGCCAGAGGAAAAAAAAAAAACAAGAAAAAATACTACAAGTTTGGTTGTTTTTTAATCTGGTAATTGGCTTAATATTTTCTCTGCTGCAATTAAAGGAACCTAGGCAACCTTTGTTTGTGGGAAGCTGCTTCTTTATAGTCTCCTGGGCAGCCTTGTGAAGAAAAGCCTTCTCAGGCCAAATGTATTGCTAACAGGTGGACAAGGATCTTCTCTGAAAGAGTTCCTGCTAACATTGCTCTATTAATAGAATCCACTGATGATCCTCAAACAAGGGCTCTGCTGAAAAGGGAAGTGAAGTAATTATCCCTCTGTCCAAATAGAGAACGGTTTAAATAGAGAAGAAAAACCAACACACTTCATCATCTTCCCATTTTACAGTGGTAGTTTGTCATCATGAGAGGATTTACACTGGTAGACTTTATCTGAAGGAAATGAAAGCAGGGCGTCAGGCATTGCTTTCAATTCTTTCATTTTTCTCAGCTGTCCGGAAACTTAAAGATAAGATTAATGAAAGGAGATTTTTCTCTTACACCAGAACCAGCCCCTCCAAAATCACTGTTTGCTGTCAACAAGACTCAGACCTCTGTGACTCTGCTGTGGGTGGAAGAAGGAGTAGCTGATTTCTTTGAAGTCTACTGCCAGCAGGCTGGATCTGGCCAGGAAACAAAAGCCCAGGTATGTGTCTCTCTTCTTTGGTGTCCACTCTTCATCACAGAATTAAACTTTTAAAAGCTAAACTATGCTTCAAATACTAAAATTTTTTCATTGTTTTGCAATATTAAGGTTGACCTCTGTCTTACTGAGGTTACATAACTGTTTGGAGAGAAGCTGTGTGCATCCAGCAGTGTCAGTGGAGTTGGCTACACGTGGAAATGGCTCTGATACACTGCAAAACCTAAGTACAAAAATAAGGGAATACCAATGAGCAAGAAGGGAAAATTGGTCAGGTAGCTTCATAAGGAATGGGGAAAATAGACATATTTAGATGCCATGAGTTTTCTGATACAGTATCTAATTATTTCTGGAATGCTTTATTCCTGGTTTTGAGATCTGTTAACTGAAGTTCCCTAGGAGATTCCTTGCTGTTCCAAGAGTACCTTTATGCAAATGTGGCTGCTCCTAATGCATTTTATATTAATTTTACCTCAGGGTATTGTCTTCAAGACCCACCTCCTGAGGTGAACATATGAACCTCCTTTTCTTTCTGTCCAATTAGGTACCTGTGCTCACTGGCCAATTTAAATATATAGTATTTAAATGGGTAATGCTGTTCAGTGAAAAACAGAGAGCAGTAGTAGTTTTCACTCCTTGACATTCAATACTGTGCTACATGTGAGGTTTACTTTGTGCTTTAGCTGATAGTATAATGAATCACTCTGATTAAATGCCACAAAACATTATTCTCTCATGTGCACTGTGGCACGTAATGGGGAATCATTGAGAAAGAAGTGAAAAATTACCACTAAAACCACCAATTACCATGTGTAAAAGACCTGCATACTCTTTAATCCTATGGAAGATCAGTCTGAATTATTTAATATTCTTTTTAAATTGAGACAGACTATGACTAAAGGAAGAAAAATGCATACATGCACTTAAATCTTTTGGATCATTTAGATTCCACCTCTAGATTCTTGCTTTTTCATGCTGAATAGCAAAGGTTGTGAAGTCATTGTCATCACTTACCAGGGATTCAAAATAGTGATGGGATCAGGCAAGAAAGCACCAGAGGATTTGCAGCTTCAGTTCAGAGCAGATCTGTTTTAAGAACATCAGGAAAAGACTGCTTCATTTGGCAGATGCTTCAGTGGGTGTCTCCTTTGTTGACAGAAACATCTGGCACTGGGTAATGCACAGAGATTGTCAGCTCACTCCTCATTGGATTCACACTCTCTTTTCTGTCTCCATGAAAAACTGGGAAAGGCTCCTTTCTGAACTGTAAAAAGGGATGCTTTCCTAGTAGGCTGGTGAAAATTCTTTGTGATTTTCCATGCTAATTATATGAACATTTTTGTCCCTTCCCTGCATCTTTAAATCAGTGAAATGAAAAGCAGCAGCCTTCCAATTTTGAACATCTTGGATTTGAGTTGACTAATTTAAATTTCCCAGAGGGGAAAATGGAAATATGCAACCAAGTACAATTGCCAAAGTTTGACTCCTCCTTTCAGCTCAGGCAATAAAAAGGCTCTCCTCCCTTACACTCGTGTGATTTCATCTGCACCATGTACCTCAGAATTACTCTGCAACAGGAGTCTAGGATTAGGCCATGGCTGACAACAGGCTCTTGCAAATGTCCAGTGCTTGGGACTTGTTACAGCATCTTGCTTGAACTTGAACCCATCTGGAGTGGGTTTATTTATAAAACATCTCCTTCTCTCCCTTCTAAACCACTGGTCCCTGTTTTTACAGCTGTAACCCACCCTGGTTCTGTGGGACAGTCCAGAAAACAGAGTCTTAAGGAACTCTTTCTTTAAGTCAATGCATGTGTTGTTCTTTCTGTGTTTGTTTGCTCTTGCCCTATCAGCATTTAAAATCCACAAAAGTGTTCACAAGGTCATAATAATTAACACATTGTATAAATATGTTATGTAGAGTTTCTGCCAGCTAGAAAAACTGAGATGTAGGGTGTTTGATCATAATTATTACAAAAGACTTTGCTCTAGCTTTGTTTTTCACCTTGGCCACTCAAAAGGGTTCACAGGTCTCCACACTAGAGGAGCTGCCTCAGAGGCAGAGATGACATGCATTCAAACCAGAATTGTGATTTCATTCATGGCAGAGGTTGTGACTGCCTTGGCTCTTCTTTGTTTAAAAATAACTTGGTTTTCCTCCTACCTGTGTGGCTTAGAAACCAGACCTCATGAGCTGTGTCCATCCTGGGATGTCCTGGAGGTCACAGTGTTCTCCCCTACCAAGCCTGTGCCTGACCAACCTGCTCTGGGGCACTCTCAGGGTGTGCTGCACTGGGATGACCCCAAGAATGTAAAAGTCCTCGTTTCCCAGCCCATGCAGCCAAAGAAGGAGTCTGAAATGCATAGGGTCGGCTTCTCAAGGTTGTTTATTTTTCCTTGTCTACACCATTCTTTCTCTAACCTGCTGAGCTCTGTCTAGCAAGGATGCCATGGCATTCTGCCTCTTGCCTTGGGTGGTGTTTACATTTTATATCAAAATTTATGTATAGTCTGTTTACAATATTGTGCCAATATCTATCATTTATGTTAGACAGTGTATCTCCACCTTAAACCAATAGAAAAGTGTCACCATCACACCAAGACAAGGAGGACAAGAAGAAGGCCAGGACACGCCCAAATCCCTCCATCTTGACCCCCTGAACCCCATTCTAAAACCCCCAAATTTCTATTTTTCCACCCTGTGTTAACTCAACTACCACACTACTCAAACCCTTGTGGCTGTAATTCCTCATACAAAGCTGCCAGCTTTTTCCATGGGCTAAAATCAAAGTCACAGGTGTTTTTGACTTCATGCCAAGGTCTCTGAGCCTCCTGCCAGGGTCTCGAGACAGCCAGGGCAGCCAGAGGGATGTCCTGTACTCCAACAGGGTGCATGTCCTTCCCTCCCCAAAAGGTTCTGGGGTCCGTGGAGTGCTCTGGGGTGTTTCTCTCCCCTTTTCTGCCAGACTATCTGCCTGCTGTCAAGGGCAGGCCCTGGTTACCTTTCCTGTGTTTCGAAGTGTTGATTTCTCCCACCAGACCTGACTTTACCTGTCAGATACTGGAACACTGATTTGTGCCCCGGTATTCACGGGAGAGATAAACTCTTGTGTGTTTTTCCCCATGTCTGCAGGAACCTGTCACTGTCTCTTCACACGTTGTCACCATTTCCAGCCTGACCCCTGCCACTTCCTACAACTGCAGCGTGACCACCTTCAGCCACAACAGCCCCAGCATCCCCACCTTCATCTCCGTTTCCACCATGGGTAAGCAGCACTTCCCTGCTTTCTTCTTCTTTGTCCTCATCCAGCTACATCTGTTCTCCCTTGCTTTCTACAGCTGTTCTTTGTAATCCTGGCCCCAGGTGTTGTTTGTATTATGGAAAGGCTGCCAGATGTGGATGGGATGAGGGAATAGCTTTGGAAAGCCCTTAGAAAAGGAAAAATGTGAACTAGGGGCTCGGTTCTGGACTGGGTTTAAAAATCAGGGACAAATTTGGGGTGTCAATACTAAACATCAGGTTCAGTCAATACTAACATTGACTGCCTGATGATATTTATGGAGAAAAATGTTTCTCAGCCAAGCCCAAACAAGAGGAAAATCACATTCATATAAGCTGTTAAGGCTTCCTGCATTCAGCAAAGAAGTAAGAGAGAAGAAAGGCCTCTGCAGGATCCTCAGCAGTCACAGCCTCCTGAGGGAGGATCCCTGGGCATGTCATTTTCCAGAGTAATTAAACATTTTCCACCCAGCATGTTACAAATCCTCAGTTTATTATTTTGCTTCTGGGTCAGAAAAATCATTGATTATTGTTGAAGGACAACTTCAGAGCGGAAATGTGCTTTGGAGACATAGATGATGATGAATATCTGTATCTTGTATTACCTTCACAGTTTTCCCTTGTGTTATAAATGTCAGCTAAAGAGGAAAAAAATAATAAATCAGAACATGTTAAATTTCAACAAAAATGCCAGGGTGAAGGCATTTCCCCAAAGAAATTTTCTAAGAGCAATAGCTGCTAAAACTCTCCCCTTATCTCCTGCGGTAGATTTTTCTCTCTCTAACACTCCAGGCTCTTTGAGATAAGTTAAAAAAAAATAACATTATCAAAACTCAGGGGGAAACAAAACCAAACAAAAATGTCAATGCTTCTGAACTGAATAACTGAGAGTAATTTTCTGTATGTGCAGTCACTGAGATGAACCCCAATGTCGTGGTCATCTCCGTGTTGGCCATCCTCAGCATCCTCCTGATTGGACTGCTGCTGGTCACTCTTGTTGTACTCAGGAGAAAACACCTACAAATGGCCAGGTAAGTCCAGATTTATGCTAATTACCAAAAAAAAAAAATCAGACACTGACAAACACATCATGTCAATAGTTTCAGCTGAGAATGCTTTTGTGGGTGGGTGGGTGGGCTGCTTGAGGTGCTCGTGAACAGGGTGTCTTCAAAAGACCTGTTTTGCTGCTGTTGAGTGTGTCTTCTCCTTCTGTCTATTTTCACTCTTGACCTGACTGACAAGCCTCAAGCTTTGTCTCATTTTGAGCTTTGCAGGATCGAGTCCACAACTGCTATCCCATATTGCAAAAGGGTTATGTCAGGGAAAAGAATGATAATTAGGATCTGAGGGAAATGGGCATGAGAAGGACATCAAGGCTCTTTGCAAGTCTTTGATATGGTTTGGAGCAGGAGATTTTTGCCATACTTACAGATAACATTTTCTAGAAAGTCTCTCTCTCACCACTTTCCAGTCTGCACCTATCATTTGTACCTGAATATTGAAATTCAGTTTCCTTTTCTAGGCCATCTTACCTGCAAGCCCCATATATCCTGTGTATATATATATATATAATTGGTTTACCTACTAGTTTTGAAGGCGTCACAGAGTCTTTGTCCTTTTATAATCTGTGTAATATATTTTATGTTCATTTACTGTACTGTGTCAAGAAAGGAAATTATTTAATGTAAAAAAAAAGCTTATGTAAAAAATCTTGTGCTTGACAACCTAGCAGATGCTGCATTTTGTGTGATGTCTTGTCTATGTAGTCCATGCAAGAGATGACCACATCACACCTATGTTCCAAGTTATCTTTTTAAGAAAACATTATATAATTTTTCCTTTTGCATGTAACTGGCTCTGTGGAAATCCCAGCTAAATTAATTCTCTTTCCTATTTAATTACTGTGCAGCCAGCCCAAAGCTTTTTCTCTTCATCAACTGCTTCTAGCCACAGAAGATAAACACCCCAGGAGGAAATTTAAAAAAATAAATCCAGCAAGAAGCTGCAAGCAATTGTTTGCTTAAATCAAGAAAATAGTCAAGTTAGTTTATAACTCATAGCTGAAAATAATGGAGTTGTGATAAAGAAACAACTAGAATGTTATTCAGGATTTTTTTTCTTTTGCCTAGAGTTATTTTTATTACTTAAAATTACCTATAATTATCCTGTAAAAAGGACACAATTAAACAACTTCTTCTTAGAGTGGGAACAGTGAATATTTAGTATAGAAAGGTAAATTTTTAACCTGTGCACTGAGGCCAGTGCCATGCTATGAAAAGCACAAATCTGGATAGAAGATAAGGTCTATTTGAGAATTTCCTTTTGTGAAGCATTTTTAGGCAATTTGATCTCAGGTGGTGTTGAACATTTATTGGTTTTAGACAACTACATTAAGGGGTTCTAGTTATGTTAATTACAGATTATCTCAGACCTAGTCACGGATGTGTTCAGCACTTCCCTGCTGAAGAGTTCTCTGTTAAATCAAGCTCTTTGCAAGTGTTGTGAATCCAGAAATATTAATTTTTACCTAATGGTCTTCCTGGAACAGGGAGTGCGGGGCTGGGACCTTTGTGAATTTTGCATCTTTAGAGAGGGATGGAAAGCTCCCCTATAACTGGTGAGTGTTTGAAGCTAAGCTTATGATTTTTTCCCCATCTCTGCTTTTTGGCAAATATTATCTGTAATCTTAAAGTGCTTATTTTTTATGTCATTGCTGTCCCTTTTTAGGATAAAACTACTAGACTTGTTAATTTCATATTTTATTCCTTAAATGTATTTTATTTCTTGAATGATGACTGAAGACATGCATTCTGTCACCTGTTATTTTTAGTAGGCAATAATGTATTTGCATGTCAGCCAAGTTGCATAGATGTATTTGGGGAGGATATTTTTTTTCCTCTCTCTTACAGATATATTTCCTAAAATAACACAACTGTAGATAATTGATCTATACATTCATTAGCACTACAATGCATTTGCATCCAGGAGTAAGCTTATTTGTAGATAACTAATTACCAACTGTCTTCATACAGTGCCTTTAATAAATATTTCCTTACATCACAAGACAAGGACAAACCAACTCAAATATATTCTGTAACTTAATGTTCAGTGCTGTTGAAAAAACAACCAAAAAAAAAAAAAAAAACAAAACCTAAATATATCTTGCTAGTCTAGAAAATCACCTGCAAGAATTGCAGGCACTGATATGGACTGTAAATCATCACTGTCACCATCAGCTGAAGAGAAGTAATTGTACAGAGAAAATCTGTAGGATTAGCTTTTATAGAAGTAAAAGGCTGTGAGAGCTACCTGGCTGGCACCAGTGTGGTCATATCCATCCCTATTTTGATAATAAATGAGTGGTAATGACAGAGCCACGGTTTACTGCTCTGTTATTAACAATCTCTGCAAAAACTTCTTCTCTTTCAAGGCAAGTCCAAACAGAGACACTTAAAAGCATGACATCAGCCCCATTCCAGGAGAAAATATGTGCCTTTGCACCCATGGTCAGCTTTGCTGACAGCCAAGAAGTTGGAAAGAAAAGTTGGTGCACAGGGAACTGCTTTCCATGACCTCACAGGACACAGCCTGCCAGCTGGGCTGGGATTGAATGGACTGACACTGCACCACCACAAGCCTTTTGCTAATAAGCCTGCAAACTGAACTAACAAGCCCAGAAATCTTGTCAATATCTCACTGTGCTGCTAATTAACTGGGTATTATTAAACAAGCTTCACTTGCTTGGCTTAGCTTTAATAGCAGCCGGCTGTATGCAGTGCAAATGAAACCATTCCTCAGATTCTCTTGCTTGGACTATATTAATGGCAAAAAAGTCAGAAGATCAAACACTCATGTTAATTAAATAGCCAAGCTTGAATGAAATTATTAAACTAGCAAGAGACGTTATTAAAACCATAAAGGCTTTTATTTTTAATGGGAAGGGAATTAATAGGCTTGGATGTGAAACTGAAGGTTCTTGATGCTTGATTTAGCATATATATGTATGTGTGTGTGTATATGCATATATGTATACATACATGAATTAAGTTATAAAAATATAAACTGAGGAAAGCATTCCTGATTAATAGCACCAAAAACTTTTGTAACTGAAGGCAGTGTGTCCTTACCTTATGGTCTTATTTCTCTGAGAGTGGTTTTATGTGCCTCTTGTCTAATGTCAAGAGCAGATTCACAATCCATCAAGGCAGCCAGGTGGGAAATTTGGCCCTAAAAACAGAGAGAAGGATTGGCTCATTCCAGGGATCCAGTCAGGGAGCCATGGGATATCCACTAGTTCATAAGGGAAGCTCAGCTGACTTTTCAGGATTTGAGCAATCTCTGCATCTCCTTCTTTTAATTAAGTTGTTCCGTATGCCTGAGCAGGATGTGAAACAGTACCTTATTGCTGAAAAGAACAGTATTGCATTTATTAGGCAATCACACACTTTTCATATGTCGAATAAAATAAATTGCTTTGGCTGTCAGAGCTGCTAGTCCGTGAATATAAATCAGTTTGCAAGTATGTTAGCCAGTGATTTGATAAAGTGTGGAAAATTCTTGTGAGGATTGGCAGTGAAAGAAGCCCAGGCTTGAATCATTCCTTCTGCCTCTGCAGGCAAGAGGAAGTAAAAGCCTCACGTGGAGTTTCTCAAAGGAAGGAGAAGTATCCAGCAACATCATCACTTCTCTCTCCTGAGCCTAATGGAAACCTCTGTGGCACCAGAGCTGTTCATGGAAAACCAAATTTCATCCTCAGTCCAGCCCCATAGACACTCTAACAACAAATGAGCCTTAAGGCTCTGATTCTGCAGTTGTGGTGTACAACTGACCAGGAAGGGCTCTTGCCTCTGGCTAAGCCACACAATTCCTGCCAAAGCCTGGGGCAAGTGCCCTGCAGAAACTGCACTGCCTGTTTCCTCTGCAGCAAAACTCATTAAAACTCATAACTTGGAGTTTTCACTGCATGGGCAGAAGATTTCCTCTCCGGTTGGAAGATTGAGATTAGAGATTATTCAGTTTGACATGACTTGTTTGTCAGGGAAAACACAGTATCTACCAACTTCATAAGAGCCAAGGGTACTGAACAAGGAAATTTAAATTTGTATTTCCTCTTTAGACCAGCTGCAGAAGGGTGGTATCACTTTTAAGGCAGCAGATTCTCTGATGGGGAAAAAACACACTGAGGGTGTATTTGACAAAAAAAAAAAAAAAAAAAAAAAAAAAATTACTGGAGCCAAATTTGTTTAAGTTTCATGAGTTTTTCATATTTGCAAAGTACCAGAAGCCCATTTCACCAATAGGTAGAACGGGCCTGAGTGAGTTTCCTGAATTAATGCACAGCAGAACCTGGTAAACAGCTTGCAAATACAGAAGTTTAGAATGATTTTGTACTCATATTTCCTTTAGCCACAGTAAAATCTGCTGTGGATAGTTATTCACAGAAAGTACAGTTAGAAGAATTGTTCAAGCAATGTTTAGGTGAAAACCTAGGAAAGAATTTAAAGCACTCTGCAAAGTGTTATTGGGATGCCTTGTGAAATCTGACTCAATAGAGGGTATTAAGAGATGTTTTTAGCATCTGAATTTATCTCTGATATCCACAGGATCACTTGCAGGAACAAACATGGGAGATTATGTGTTTGATAAAAACAAACCATATCAGTACTGAATATCTCAAAACACTGAAAATAGGTTTAATACCACCTATGCAATGGCTGGAAATCTGTCAAAATATTTTACTACCCACTTTACTCTCTAAAAATTAGGAGTAACAGGCCTGAATCAATATGATAAGACATACTTATTTTGACCATATAATTTTGTGTTGGATAGCTGAAAATCCTGCAGGTTGAGGAGTAAAAATTCTAGGGATGCTAATAACATTCTTAGGAAGTAAGTAAGAAGTAGGGTTTATGGGTTTAGCTGATTTTTAAAATAGAATTTGCTGATCTCCTGATTTCTGTTTGTCTTACTAACTCTCCTCACTTTTTCATCTTTATGTATGTTATTTATTAATGCTCACAGGCGTAGAAGTGTATTTGCTTTCCTAACTCTGCTACCCTCATGCCTTTGGACTGATTATCTTTTGGCATTTTATGTTAATCCTTGGTAAGTGATTTACTTGTTTTTCCATATGCAATGTGTAAACACTGTGAGTTTCTATGACATGACATGAAAAATGTGTGGTACTTTTGTTCTCAAATGGGTCAAAAGCTTTTGGAGATACAATTTTCTTGTACTTGGACTGGCGAGGATGTGGGTATCAAAGTATTTGCTACCCTGCTTCATCTGGTTTGTCTGTTTATTCTCCAACCCATTTTGGTATTAAAAAGCTAATTTTACAGTGTTCATCATATCCATCTCATTGCTGTCTTTGCAACTTTTGCTGCTTCATGATAAGTCCTGGCTTCTTCTGTCCTGGTTATTTACATGTTCATTGCCTGGCACTGACTTTTGCTGCTGTTGTTCTATTACTAAAATTGCTTGATCATGCCCCACCTGTTTGGTGTGTGATGTCAAATACATTTGTTTTTCAAAGGTGCTATTTTGCCCTCCTGATGTCAGTAAAATTTTGCTTTTGAAAAAAGCAGTTCACTGAGAATGAATACCACTAGAAGTCCCAAAGAGTAAAACCAGAGTCATTGTGTGCACATCTCATTTTGTATATTTAATACTTTAGTCTGTAAATAATTTATCAGGATTTAGTAAACACCTAATTGTTTTCTTGAAAATACCTAACAAAGCCACATGTGTACTTAGAAACAGAATTGTTTTACAAGCCTTTTAACAAATAATTATAATTGACAATGACCCAAAATTTCCTAATTCATAAAAAGAAACTTAAGTTTCTGATGGTCTTGGGTCCAAGTTTTAGGGTTTTACAAAAAAGGCACTTCTGAGATTAAGATTTTATTTCCCAAGCATTTTCCCTGGTCTTACTATGAGGCACCAAAGCCCTGGCAGGCAGACATCAACATCTTCAGCAGAGGGATTTTTGAGATTGATTTTCCTTGAGTGGGTCTGTAGAAAAACCCATCCAAATTTTCAGTGGGCCTAGAAATATAAGTAAAGAAAGGTCCATTTCTTCTGTGAGGAAAAAAAACAAACGTGTTCTCCACACACACCCTGCTGAGGAGCGTGTGGGGTCTTCCCCAACCTCTCCAAGGATCATATTATGTTATTGATATGATATATGATATGATATGATATATTATATTATATTATAGCATATTATATTATAGCATATTATAGTATATTTATTGTGTTATATATTATATTTATGGTATTATTTTCTATTTATTATATTATATATTATATTATATTATATTATTGGAGCTTGTCTGGTATAAACTCAGCTAACTCTCAAGCTGCACAGAGGTGGAGGGTCTGATGCCTTGTGAAGGCTGCCCTAGAGCAGAGGCTGGACAGAGTTACAGAATAAAGCATGGGTTTATTAAAAGGATCTCCTCCATGGATCCACCTTGGGCAGCACAAGAGCCCAGCCAGGGCCATACCCAAGATGAACCAAAATGGTCCCAAAATTCACGAGCGCTCCCGGGGGCTCTCACTGGGATCAGTTCTGCTCCATTTGCACCTTGGAGTTCATTGTCCCATTCCAGCTTTAGCCCAGGCAGTCCCATCCTGATTGTTTTTCTCTCTCCAGCCCACGTTGTTTGTGCTCTGGGCCTGAGATTTGGATCATTTGTCCTTGGTCCCCAGCTGGAGAAGGAATTGTTTTGTCTCCCTGCTCTGTGCAGAGAGCTCACCATCCCCTAATATGAAGCCCAGACCCACACACTAACGCAGCACAGAATCTGAAAAATACCAAAGCTAAAACCTGAGGCATCAGGTCAGGCAAGCAGGTGATTATTTTGGAGGTCACACTGAGCTCTCTTAGCTGGTCAAGAAGCCCAGAGTGGCCGCTGTCAATGGCAAAAATGTTGTCATATTTTGTCCCTCTGCCTTTTTTCTTTTATTATGAATTAACTCACTTTCTTTCTTCAGAGGTTCCCCTTCAATCAATCTATCTATTTCAGTCTAGATGATTAAGTTTACAGGAGCTGAAGTGGAATGAGATGAGATTAATCCCTCTCTTTATATTTTAATATGTAGACTAAATGGAACAACAGATGAAACACCAGCTAGTGTTTCAATTGTTTTTGTTTTGCACATAAGCTGTTTTAAAATATTTATGAACATTCAGGAAACAATTGCACTGCTAAGAAGCAAAGGCCTCTTGAGACTATCAAAGCACACAAAATTCTTGCTGAGAAATGTTTGTCAGTCATTTGTTTTATTGCCTCTTGAAATGTTCCTTGGAGAAGTGTTCTTAGAAACATTCCCACCATAAAGGGCATTTAGCTATTTTTTTTCTTTTAAAATTAATTCTTATGTGCCTGACATTAAGAGGTTTACCATAGTCACAGGGGACAGAGGTGTGTTGAATAATTTAGTGTAATTAACTTTAAGATTTCACTGAAAAAAAAAATTTCAAAATGGAAAATAAATACTACTACTTTAGATGTACAGTACATATGAATGTACAGATAACATGATAGACTGAAGAGGTTTATAATATTTAATCCCCACATTCATATAAAGCTCATATTGCCATAGCTCTTGTTAATTCTGCAGGCAAATATCCCCAACTAAATGAAAATGTACTTTGAAAAAAATAACAAAATTACTATGTGTTGTGGCTGCTCCAGAAACTGAATATTCTGTAAAATCTAATTTTGGAAAGTAGCCCTTTATTTGTTTTTAATGTAACTTCTAAACTTAACAGGGTAGAAAAATAAAAATACTCTGCTTTATAATATTTCTTTTGGTAGAATGTCATTATTTCTAATTTAACAGTCTTGTCCTTTCATTTAATAATTGAAGCCATGAACCAAATGATCTAGACAATAATTTTCATATCACCATGAAATTAAAAATAACATCATTATAATGTGAAAAATGAATGGATATTGTTTAATGCCCAGGAATTAAAAATTCACACTACTAAAATTCCTTCTGAGTAATCAAGAATCACACAAAGCAAGCTTGCTTTGTGTATTTAATCTTATTGTTGCTTGACTTCTTTGTGGCAGCAACAAAATGAACACACAGCCCCCTCCAAAAAACCACACCATTGTAGCTGGGGTAGGGCAGTTCTCAAGTCCAGTCCTTTGGGTTTTACTGCTTAACACACTCAGAAAGCTGCTCACAACTGTTGCTAGTGAATTACATCAGCCACAAATCATTGTTTTACATGACTGGCACAATTATCTCCAGCTGCTTAAAGTCAATTACAATTTCTAAGGTTTAAGCTTGAGTCCCGCTGAGGTCAGCAGGATATTTGCCATTGTCTTCATTTATCATCATAAGCAGGTTATGAGACGGGCCATTTCCATTTTCCTTCACCTTTTCCTGAATTTGCAAGTGGTGGTCTTGTCCCTTTACCCAACAGATGCTTCTCATTCCCAGTGTTGACATCCAATTTTCCAAGCTCAACCAGGCTCAGGTCCTGGGGATTCAGCCCCAGCCCACCCAGAGCCAATGGGTCAGGATTCATAGGGCAGCCATGGGCACAGATTTTCCTGTGCTTTTCCAGGATTTTCCACAGATGTGCTTTTTCTGGGCGCAGATTTTCCCTTTCAATGGCAGGTCATTCTCAGAGCCACAGAATGGGATATGCCTCCCACTGGACTCAACAGAAATGCTGCTATCAGCCTTAAATTATCCACCAGTTATTATCACCAATCTCCTCCTGAGTATGATGAAAAAAAATACACTTTCTTAAACCAGTGCTGTCTTTGAATAAAGGTTGTACAACTCTTTAATGAATGAAAAACACATCCTTTTTTTTTTTTTTTTTTTTTTTTTTTTTACAGGAGTAAAAATGGATTAAAGAAGAGAAAGCTGACCAAGTAGGTAACTTCTTTGATATTTAAAGGAATAAGTCTTAGACTAAATAGGCATTATGGAGTACATGGCACAGTTGTATTTCAGTTACAAATACGGAAAACTTCTTGATAGACATATCCCAAGGGAGATACCTGAAAGCAGAAAACAAACAATAATTGTACAAAAGCAGTTCTGCTCAACAGATTGTAGTAAAACATACAAAATTAGTCATCAGGGGAAAGATAAATTATCCAATTTAGTGATTTCAACTGAGCTTATCCTTAGTTAAAAATTGCAAATGTTGAAAAAACTGGGATGCATTTGTTTGTAGTGATATTTCCCTATTGACATGGGGCTCTCATTACAATTGTTGCTAGAACATTAGATCATTAATGCTGGTGGGTAAACAGGAGTAATTAAGTGGTGATAAGACAGGTTCCTTTGGGCATATTGCCTCCAAGTAAATGAGAAGATTACTGTGTACATGCTTCTGTAGCTTGTAAATTAGAGTATGATAATTAGGTGAGGGAAGCTGTTTACCTGTGTTTCCTTACTCAGAGTGTCAGCCTAATTATTTCTGCGTTATGTTCAGGGGTTGTGCCTGACTAACAAATAGATCTCACCTGGCAAAAAAAAAAAAGTGTGGAAAGATGGGAGTCATTAAATCAAGGCTAATTTGTACCTACTAAAGCTCTCCATGGTTTTGTATAGTTATATACCACCTTTTTTTAGCCAACATCTCTCTGGGAAAAGAGTTTGACTTATAATTACAAATGTGCGCAGTTGTCAAAGCCAGCAGAGAAAGCTGCCAGGGCAGTGGCATCCAAAATGTAATACATCCAGCATTTGGTGGCCCTGAACCACAAGATTTGTCCTCATTTCTTTCTGGCATTAACAGCTGCAAATAGATATTTATGACTTGAGAGTATTCTGGTGGAAGGAAATGAAAAGTACTACAAAAAAATCAGATTTTCTCTGTATTTTTGTTTTAAAGCCCTGTCCAGCTGGACGATTTTGACGGATACATCAAGGATATGGCCAAAGACTCAGATTATAAATTTTCTCTGCAATTTGAGGTAAATCTCTGAGGATTCTGCCCTCTGCTACTTGCCCAGATTAGCTTTTACAAGATGTTAAGGCTGCATGGTGTGCTCCTGTGTGCTCTGTGTTGGTCGATCTGTGGCGTTGCTGGGTGGGCCAGCTTCACTTCCTCCTCTGCAGAATTTAGAAGTGGAGCTTGGTGTTGTTAAATCCTACATTTAGTGAACTGATTGGAGTGGCTTCTCACGTTCAATCTGAGTTAAATGTCAGAAAAAAACACACTTGCTTAAAGTTTAGGGCATGCTGGCAACCTGAATTGAATTTGGGATTTTAATGGCTTTATTTTATATATTTAATGTCCTTAACTTGAGAGGAAGCACTGAAATTAGGAAGTAGCATCAGAAATCTCTATAAGAGCAAGGAGATTTCTCTAAGACAGGTGCATTTCTCTAAGTTCAGGTGCATTCTCTTAATTACTCTAAATTTAAAGTCAATTTAATAGTATAAAGCCAAAAGCCCATCCCTATCCTGGGGCTGTTTCCCAAAGATTTAAACATGGAAAGGCAGTGGGGAGGACTCTCAGGGTGTTTCCATGATCCATCCTGACAGCAAATTCCCCTGATGCATCATATATACTACTAATATATACTACTATTTACTACTATATAGTAGTAAATATACTACCACCAAATGTAACTACTGAAGGTGATGACTAGAAAGATCTTCTAAGCATTTCCCCAAGACTGAAAGCCACTTGAGGGTTTCAAGAAACCTCTTTAAGGAAGGCAGGTGACCACCACAGAAATAATTTAGCAAGCCCCTGGTTTGACAGCATTTTTGGTTTGACAGTGAGTGTGGGTAGAGAGGAGCAATTCTGAGTCCCAGCTGGGATGGCAGCAGTGGGTTGGCAACATCAGGAGGAGAAACCCCAACAGTGCCCTCCAGCTGCTTGGAGCCCAACTCAGAGGCATCAAAAAAGGACAATCTGTCACCCTGCTGTCAATTTATAAAGTGATTTATGAGCATTTTCTGTCTGCTACCTGCCACAAGTAATCACAAGGACTTATTCTCTGAGTGTTTTTGAGGCTGGCCTTGACATTTCCCTTTCTGTTGTCTCAGGAGCTAAAACTGATTGGGCTGGACATCCCCCACTTTGCTGCTGATCTCCCCATGAATCGCTGTAAGAATCGCTACACAAATATCCTGCCATGTAAGTACAACACACACTAAATCCTGCTAAAGCCCCTAGAGAGGGAAAGAAGAGTTCCAATAAGAAAATTGGAGAATCGGGAGATTTTCTAAGACTGGGAAAAGCGTGTTCTACAATCCTGCTCTTACAGAGAGCCAGGCAAGAGTGGTTTTTATATTAGCTTTGAATAGATGTAGCTGCCTGGAAGTGTTTGTCATGGCAAGAGTTTGGAGGTGAGAAACACAAGGGGTTTTATGCTACTGAGTAGTGTTACTGTATTTCTTTTATGATTTTAATGAAGCCTAAGGGAGCCCAAATGGACAGCACTTGGAGGAAGTGTTTGCAGAACACTAAGGATGGTGTGTCCATGTTTGCTGAAGCAAACATTGCTCTCTTAGTCAATACAAGAATTTCCTGGTTTTTAGTAATTATTTTTGGCCATTCCTATAGGGCTAATTTAAATTTTGCCGAGCTGGAGATGAGTGCCATATTTCAGAGGCGATTTTTTTCTAGTTTCTGTTTCCTTTTGCAGATGATTTCAGTCGTGTCCGCTTAGTCTCAATGAATGAAGAGGAAGGATCTGACTACATTAATGCCAACTACATCCCTGTGAGTACAGAGATCTGGTCAGTGTGGAGTTCAGTGTCCTGCACACCAGGCAGAGCTGGGCCCTTGAAAATAGCACAATATTTCCTGGAAGCTCAGTCATGTTCTCAGCATCTCCTTCAGCTTCCAAATATTTTGCCTACAGAGAACAACCACCAAAAAAAAAAAAAAAGAAAGAAAAAAATAAAAAGGGGTGGGAGAATTTTAGTAAATTTTGCTGCAGTAGCTGTGAATCTTTGTGAGACTTTGATTGGACTGGTAGGAAAACGAGCAGGAAATGTTAAAATTATTCAATGGCCTTTTAAGGTAGTCAGGTGAAGCATAGATGTTCAAATGAGAATTTTTTATAGATTTCCACTGCACATGGAAGAAAAGAGCTAAGGCAGGCACTCCAAATGCACATAATGCACACAGCCCAGATGGTGTGTGGAGAGAACTTCTGCTTTCGGGCTCCTCTCTGGTGCTTTCCCTGCGCCTCCCTGCACCTGGCAGAGAGCAGCCACTTCCCGGGGGTAGCACCCACGGTTTCAGGATAATTGCAGTGTACACAGAGCTGTAGGCAAATATTTTGACACTGGGGGTTGCCTAAAAACTCATCAGCTCTCTCCACTCTCCACTGAGCTGGTGCAGTCACTTAGGCTTATCCCTGCCACTGCCACAAGGGTTTGCTCCTCTGGTACCTCTGTGCTGTGGCTCAGTGAGAGCTGGAGAGCAAGAATTCCATGGGTTATTCTGCATGGAGAGGAGGCAGGGCACTACTGCAGCCCTTTAGGAAGAGGTCTTTGACAGAAAAATGAATATTTTTGCAGTCTGGCTGTAGATAGAGCTGACCCTGGCTGTGCTGGAGAGAGCTGAGCCAGCGTTATGGAGAAAGGAGGAGCCCTTGGATGAGTCACTGGAGCCACTTCTCTGTCACTTTGGCATTGCCCAAGTGTGCAGTGTTGAGCCCAGTGTCTGTGCATGGCTTCTCTGTGTCCAGGGCACAAACCTCAGCACTTACACTGCAAGAATCAGGAAAGAAAAACCTTCCAGGATTCACAGCCCAGGAAACTTCCGTCACACGGGATTGTGGCTAACAGGATCCTAAGCAGCAGTCAGTCCCTTTCAGATGTTCAGTTCTGCTTTTCATCTCTTTAGTTCTGCTTATAGCACAGTGCTGACCATGGAAACTGGGATAAACACGTGATGTTAATGCTGTTCTTTTTCTGATAATCAGTGCTCCACTGATTCCCTGCCTCCAAACACAGGAACCAGGGGGGATCTGTCCCTGTGCTAACTGGGATTTGTCACTTAGGTCAGACACAGCCCACGCTGAACAGCCAGCAAATTCTGTGTAGTGCAAAAAAACTGGGATTTAGCTCGTTTGCAGAGATGTTTGGAGGAAGACATTAGTGGAAAATGCTCCCAAATCACAAATAATTTTATGATCCACATACAGTGTTGGCACAAAAATTGCCTAATTTGCATGGGATCATGCTGTGTGTTGGATATATTTTTTGCTTTTGCTAGGAATATGAAATAACTTTCCAGATGCAGTTCTGATGATATAATCTCAGCAAATATGGTTATAGCAGATGCCAAAAGGGTCATTCTGTGGTCTTTTATTATAGTCCTCATAACAGTTTTTTGGTTTTGGAGAGGTGAAAGGAGTCTTTCCAACTAAAATCATGCTGATAGGAAAGGGAATACATGCATATGAAGCATCTTAGCATCTGTTAAGAGCATTGACTCAGCATCTTCTCTATTATTTGAAGCAGAATTATAATTAATATTTTATTAATTTAAGGCCTCATGACATAAACACGTGTGTATAATCCTATTCCATTGACACCAATGACTGAAAATCACCCCAGACACTGCTTGGGATGAGCAGCCTGGGCATCTATAACTGGTTTTGTGCCTATAACTAAACAAACCCTAAAATTACATAATCTGAAAGGAGCTGTAACATTCTTTTAAGGTTCTTACTACTTGCTTTTTTAATGTTGCCTTTTCTGCTCTCTGTGCAAATGATTCATGTGGAAACAGCTTCATCTGCTGTATTTTAGATTGCTTAGACTTTGGGAATATCAAAATCCAGCAAAAGTTGTCATCAGAAAATAAATACAAAAAAATTTATTTCTTTATATTAAAAATCACTTTTAGAAGTACAAATTGGATTTGGGCAAACTAAAAAAAATCGAAAAATACATGTTCTGAAGCAGTAACCATGCTGGTAAGCAGGACTTATCTCTTTGTCTTTTAGGGTTATAATTCACCCCAGGAATACATTGCAACCCAAGGACCACTGCCAGAAACTAGGAATGATTTTTGGAAGATGGTTCTCCAGCAAAAATCACAAATTATTGTTATGCTGACTCAGTGCAATGAGAAAAGACGGGTATGTAACAAAATCTTCTATGTGATGTAAAAGAAACCACCCCGAAAAAGAGCTCTTTTCTGCTGAGTCAATGTCTTTGCATTGTTTCTGATCACAAGGCAGCATCACAACCAGCCCTGGAATGGCATCTACCTTCCCATTTCAGCACCTTCTTGGATGTTCCCTGATGTTCCCTGACTTCCTTTGACCTTCTTTGTCCCTTCTTGACCTTCTTGGAACTTCCCTGACTTGCTGCACCTTCTCTGACCTTTTATGACCTTCTTTGACCCCTTCTTACTTTTTCTGATCTTCTTTGACCTTCTTTGACCTGCTTTGACTTTTCTTTGATTTCTTCGACATTCTTTGACTTTCCCTGACCTTCTTCAACCTTCCTTGATTTTCCTTGAGCTTCCCTGACCTTCTCTGACCTGCTTTTACCTGCTTTGATGTTGACTTTCCCTGACTTCCTTTAACCTCCTTAACCTTTCTTTAACCCTCTTTGAACTTCTTTGATGACCCCTGATCTTCTTCAACCTTTTCTGCCCTTTTACCTCCCCTGACCTTGTTATGAAGCCTCCCCTCTTACCACAGGAGGGACTGAGGGAGCTGGGGACTCTCCATCCTAGAGAAGAGAAGGCTCCAGGGGTCTTGTCACTGTGTACAAATTCCTGATGGGAGGGAATGGAGATGAGGGACTCCTTTAGTGGTGACTTGCCCAGTGACAAGTCAAGAGGTGAAGTGCACAAATTAAAAAACCACATTAAATTCTTTCAGAAGTCAGGAAACACTTATTTTACTCTGAGGGGGACTGAGCACTGGGACAGATGCTCCCAGAGCTTGTGGAGTCTCCATCCTTGGAGATATTCCAAAGTCACCTGGACATGGTCTAGAGCTGGCTCTAGGTGACATTGCTTGAGAGGAGAGGGGCTTGAACGAGGTGACCTCCAGGGGTCCTTCCAACCTCAGGCCTTCTGTGATTCTGCACTTTTAAGTTTAGGTAATTCTGAAATGCAAGTTCTATCTTTACGTTTCCCCTTTATATTGTAATAGAAATATTTAGAATATAATTTGGGGGGTTTATATGGACATTCTCTTTCCCAGCATTTTGCTCCGTTTAGAGCTATTATATCAGGAAGAATAACAAAAGGCACTCTGTCTGTTCTTCACTGCACTAAAGCTGCCCTTCTGAAAACTGATAAATAGCTGATGGCCACAATTAAATGGGAATGGTCAGGCTGGAAGTCATTGCAGCATAAACTTCCTCTTATTGCAGCAGCAATTGAACAGTGCTGTAGGCATTGCTAAACCTGAGGTTCTGTGTCCTTTTGTGTGTATCTTTTTGTATAAAAATACAAAAATGCCTGGATTTCCCTCCATTTCAGGTGAAATGTGACCACTACTGGCCTTTCACAGAAGATCCTGTTGCATATGGGGATATCACAGTGGAGATGCTGAGCGAGGAGGAGCACACGGACTGGGTGTACCGCAGCTTCCGGATCAGCTACGTGAGTGAAACCCTTTGCCAAAGGAGTGATTTCAGTCCAGCTTTTTCTTTAACTTCTGTCCATTTCTGTCACTCAGCAGGAAACAGCTAAGAGAGATAGATCATTGTCTTTACATTCACTTTGCACAGGCAAATGACAAAATCACAAAACTTTCTCCTAAAATCATCTCTAAATTTATCTGCAAAGTGCAAGGCTGAAACAAAAATAGTACTAGAGCTCTGGACACTTCTGTGGTACCAATAATTACTGACAACAAATGTATGAATTTCTTCTTTTCTACATCTCACACACATCTTCTTGCTATAAATTATTCAAAACTTGAAAATATCAGTGGAAGAATTGAAAATGCTTTTCAAAAGGGCAATTCTGCAATAATAATGTCTACCTATAAAGTATTGAAACAAATGTGGGAGTATGTGGTGTCCAAATGAAAGCTCCTCAGAATTTCATTCCACCTTTGTTTCCTGCATCAGTTCATTTCCAGCATCATCTCATGAAGGAAAATTTAGGGATGTGGTTGGGTTGTGGAAAAAGTTGTACACTGGCAATTCATCCCTGACCCAGGACCTTATGTGTTGTGTTGAGGATCTTACTTCATCTAACGCCAGTAGAATTTTTAGCATTGTAAAAGTGGGTTTTTTTATAAGGAGCTTTTTTCCTAAATGTTTCCTGTGGTAAAGTTTTTTTCTTACTTTGGGGTTTTTTTTTGGTTTTGTTTTTTTTTTCCTTTAAAACTTGAAAAGAAAATCTCTCAGTGAGATTTTTTTTTCAGGTTTGCCTGCTTGCCAACAGTGTTGTTCTTTATCTGTGGCAAAATGAGAAAAGAAGAGGGAATGGAATAAAAAGGGGAAAAAAGCCCAGAGTTGAAAAACGCAACAGTTCTTGATTTAAAAGCAAAAAAAGAAGGAACTACCACAGAGACAAAAGCAAAAAGCAAACTCCAAACCCAGAAACAGGAAGTTCGTGTGTTTTTGATAATGATGGCCTGATATTCCCCCCCAACTTTCTAATTAGCTTGTTTGTTCTTTGCCAATTTCTTGGCTGGCTTCAGTCTTTTAGGCTGGATGTGGGGAAAAAAAGAGAAGCACAAAATGACAAAAAAGCCCTCAGTGTGACTGAGTGTGATGCCATGGTGCTGTTCTGCTTCTTCCACCAGGCTGATGAGGTGCAGGACGTGATGCATTTTAACTTCACTGCCTGGCCAGACCACGGCGTCCCCACCACCAACGCTGCCGAGAGCATCCTCCAGTTTGTACAGATGGTCAGGCAGAAATCAGCAAAGACTAAAGGCCCCATGGTCATACACTGCAGGTAAGTGCTTCAAGGAATAGGAGAAGAACAAGGTGTGACATTAAATAGGTTGGGAAACCATGAGAAATAGAGATTTTGGGGTTCTGCTCACCTGTTGGCTGAAGGTGGTTCTCTCTGGTGTTAGTGTTATGCAGCTCTGCCCTGTAACCTCATGGAGAAATTCATAGAGGATATTGTTCCATGAGTCTTGGTATTTTAAAAAGTGTTCAATAAGCCAGGGAAGAGATTTATATATAGTATGAAATCAGACCCTGTATCTACTTCTTAATTCTTCTGGGAAGGAACAGAAGCAAGTATCAGAGAGCTGGGCAAGAGCTATAATATTTCCTTTTTTTAAATGAGGATTCCTCTAGCAGCAAAGAGGCATATTTTCAGGTAGTATTTTGAGACTATACTGTGCATCTTAGATCACATAGATTAAAATACCAATGTTACGAAAGTAGAAAAGGGGCAAAGAAAGAGTGCACCCATCAACTCCTGCAGCAATTGTTCTCAGACATTAAAGAAGGCACAGAATGAATTTATCCATTTATCTGTCCAATTAACACATCAAATGTTCTGTTGTATTCATGCATTTGAGAAATTAACACAACAAAAGCCAAAGTAGAGACCTCTTTTGTTACAGTTATGCTGAACTGTGTTGAGATGAGCTCTTAAACATTATTGCAAACACTTGCAAGGCTTTACAGAAAAAGCATGACAAAACAGTAGAAAGAGCTTTTGCCAAGATACACACTCTTAGTAGTAAGTAAGGTGCTGTGTGAAACTCCGTAAAACCTCTGTGAAATCTGACTTAAACACCACATGTGAAATCACAGTGCAAACATTCGTACACATGAGAATCTCGAAATGAAAGCAGTGTATATTTTTTCTAGCTGCTGAGATTCCCTTTGGGGAAAATGCAGATTTTCAGCTGAGTGGTAGCTATTTCTGTCTCATGCTCCTACGGCAGAAGTCCTGAAGTGCAGACTCTTCTGCTGATGCCTCAGTTTTTAGCTTTTATATTTTTCAGATTCTGTGCTGCTTTAGTGTGTGGGTCTGAGCTTCATATTAGGGGATGGTGAGTTCTCTGCACAGAGCAGGAAGACAAAACAATTCCTTCTCCAGCTGGGGACCAAGGACAAATGATCCAAATCTCAGGCACAAGGGCACAAACAACGTGGGCTGAAGGGAGAAAAACAAGCAGGATGGGACTGCCTGGGCTAAAGCTGGAATGGGACAATGAACTCCAAGGTGCCAATGGAGCTGAACTGATCCCAGTGAGCGCCCCCGGGAGCACTTGTGCGTTTTGGGACCATTTTGGTCCATCTTGGGTGCAGCACTGGCTGGGCTCTTGTGCTGCCCAAGGTGGATCCATGGAGGAGATCCTTTTAATAAATCCCTGCTTTATTCTGTAACTCTGTCCAGCCTCTGCTCTAGGGCAGCCCTCACACAGCATCACTGGAGGCCCAACCAGTGTCACTAAATCCCACAGATCCACCAGCCTGCCTGGCCTCAGATCACTTATATCTGATAGCTACAGCTGCAGGACTCCTGCCTTTTGCAGTGCCACTGCTGTTGCTGTGTGTGCCCTTGAGTGAGCTGCATGTCTGTGTGTGTTGCAGCGCTGGCGTGGGGCGGACGGGAACGTTCATCGCTCTGGACCGGCTCTTGCAGCACATCCGTGACCACGAGTTTGTGGATATTTTGGGCCTGGTGTCGGACATGAGGTCCTACAGAATGTCCATGGTGCAGACAGAGGTAAGTTCTGTTCACTTCAGCACTGTGACAGTATTGTCGTGCCCATTTCATACTCTTCTTCATCATGTTTGTGCAAACAATCATACACATGAGAATCTCTGTTGTTCCCCTTGACAAAACCACTATGAGTCAATACAATCAAGTTTTCGACTTCATTGTGATATTGTCACATTATTAATCTGCTGCATAGGTGGGTTTGATGATATATCTGCAATCTCACTGTCTGCCAGAGGAAATGAGTTATTCTCACCGTCTGTGAAATGAATATGCAAACAATGTATTAGAATAGATTAACATATGAAATTTTCAAGCCACACTGTAAAGAGCTGGGCTTGCTGAGGGGATTAATGGCTCATGAAATAGTATCAGTATCAGCAGCCTTGTTCAAGTATCATGTTAGTATAATTCAGCCAAGCCTCATCATTTCAAACAAGCAAAACAGACAAAAGGATTGTGAGTCTGCCTGACACCCTCCTTGACCCTCTCCCCACCCAAATATCTACTGGCTAGTTATTTTTCTGTTTTTAAGACAAAAATATACAGATAATATATACTGGGGGGAAAAAAAAATCACACACTTGTTCTTCAAAGCAGATTTTATGCATCTAAACCTTCCCAGTTCCCCTAGTAAAGAGGGAAAGATTTCATATTTCATGCCTGTTGCACTCTTCCTTGGTTAGACACACAGTATATGTGAGCAACCTCCATGCAGTTGGAAATGTCACCATCACTGTTTTCAGATGATAATTATTTATTGCCAAAGTTTGTTGAACTGAGAGGGAAGAAAAAACTTGTAGCAGGGAGAGGAGAGGAGGAAGAAAACGCAGTGACAACAACTAGGATCTGGAAATGAAAAAAAAAGTAATTTTCAGTCCATTCTGGATCATTCCTATCAAACTGCCACTTTTCATCACAATTCACTGTATTAATCCAAAGGCAGATCCTTTCCACCAGAGGAAAACAATCCTGGTGGGTGATTGATTTCAGCTGCAACTATTACCACTCCAGAGGTGATGTGGGTTTTTATAGTTTTGTGGGGTTTTTTTCCTTTAAATATTTCAATTTTTTTCATGTAGAACCTCATTGCATGTTAAGGGCAATTCCTGAGCTCCTGCAGCTACAGGCAGTGGCCAAGCCTGGCCTCAGTTGTCACCAAGTGACACTGACACTCAGTCACAGAGGCCACCAAACAGTGTTTCCTTACAAAATATGAAACCACTGACAACTCACCTGAATTCACAGTGCCTGGTATGCTGGAAATTTGGCAGTGCCTCAACGAGCAGTTTCAAAAAACAAATGGCATGGGCCCAAAAAGGGCTTTAGAATGGGAAATATCCTGAATTGAAACCAGTCTCTCCAAATTAACTACTCTGTGAACAAAATCGGGGCTTTATTTTTATTGATAAAGAAGTCAAACACTGAGGAACCCGAACTTCATTAAAATATTTCAGAAGCATATGTGGCATGGATGCAATGTATTGCACATAAAGCATTCAGATACCTTTCTTGGAATTTATTTTTAGGCAATGTAAAGTAAAGCAACTTTAACTCAGATTCAACTCTTCTGTCATCATTCAGGTTATTAATAAGTGATTATGGTGTCAGGTGGACTTCATGCTTCCCCTTCTGCTATCTGTAACAATTGTGGACTATTATTTTGGGAGTTGATAACTCCCTGTGCATTGTGAGGGGCTGAGCTGAGAGACATGGATCTGTGCAAGGTGTTACTGTGAACCATCAAACTGTTCCACTGGTTGTGTTTTTGTCATGCTTTCTGTCATGCAAAAGATGCCCATTTATTTGGTCTTTTCTTCTAGGAGCAGTACATTTTTATTCACCAGTGTGTGCAGCTGATGTGGCAAAAGAAGAAGCAGCAGTTCTGCATCAGTGATGTCATATATGAGAACGTCAGCAAGTCCTAGTTCAGAGTCACAGATGGTAAGTCAGGCAAGCCTGGCCCTGTGCCATGACCACAGCCTCACATCCCTGTTCCACTAGAGTTTGGGGCTTTTCTTATTCCTCTTCCATGTTCACATGGAGAGTGAGGGAAAAATCCATCTAGCCTCTCACAGTAGATAACCCACTACCCTTTCCATGGCCCTGTAAGAATATATGGGCTCAGTCATGTTTAAAGAAAAAGAGAATCCAAACTCCTGATGAGCCATCTAAGCATTCCCTGCCACTTGTCATGACCTGCCATGCAAAGCTTAAAGGGAGGGAGAACTTCAGTTACCTCCATTTCTTCTCAAAAAAGAATTTTACCTGGTTACCAAGGCCAGCAGAGGCTTGGGGATGCTCTGCTGGAAGGTAACCAAAAAGCTCTGGCACGAAACAGTGGGAAATACTTTCCTAAATCAAAAATCACGTAACCAGAGAACCAGCAGGCTCTCAAACTGGCACCACCAGCAGCATCAGTGAAGGGTTGGTCTCACTCTCCCCCTGACCCCTGTGCCTGAGCAAAACAAGTGCCTGTGACCACGAGGTTTGCTGGTGGGAACAAGCTGTGGGGACGTGTGTCACGGCTCTTCAAGCTCCCAAGCTTTGGCTCATTAGGTGGCAGCAATAATCCAGCCATAACCTTAATAGTCCCTTTTGGGTGGAGCAGGAAGCTGCTGGCTTTGACACAAGCTGCTTTTTGAGCAGCTGGTGGAGAGCTGTGCTGGGGGAGCATCTCCAGCTGTGTTTGCTGTGTGTCTGTGGTGTTGCACTTGTGTATTTATTAACCCTTGTCTGCATCATCCCCCTGCCTGTAAAGGAACCCCAGTTTGCCTTGCTGTCCCTCAGGTTTAGGGTTACTGTCTAGTCTGAGTCCCAGCGCCTTGTACTGGTGGCCTGCAGTCCCAGCCTGAGTGGAGGGTCAGTAAAACAAATGCTAAAAATAAATGTTTATTCCCTTTTCTTCTCTCTGAAGCATTCTGTTTGTTTGGTTGCAGGTGGGACCATGAAGCACACCCATCTTCCCTTGCTTCTGATTTATTTTGTGTTGATGGTTTGAAGGGGCAGGTGTTGTGCCACGAGAGACCACTGCTTTGCAGTGCATGGACAATGAGGGAAAGAAACTTTTACCTTTCTGAAGCACTGGGGAGACAAAGCCTTAACGAGCCTGCGGTGTCTTTTGAACTGTTTAATTTCTGGACATTTTTTTTTAAATACTGGACCAAATTCAGCTGAACAACATGAAGGAAAAGACACTATATTTGCATAAAACAGATTGTTCCAGAGTGTTGGGATTTTGTTTGGTACTTTTGGGTAATTTCTTTCATAATATTTTTTTTTTCCTGTGCAGGTTGGGCTTAAGGTTAAAGTAAGTGCAATATTTTTTTAATGGTTGACTGAAGAGCTTTCTTCATGTGTCACTGGTCTGTCCCTAGGAGAGCAGGCATTGTTAGTATCTAATAATACCTCATTAGTGAATAGCGAGGCATGAACATACATGAAGAAACCTGGAGATTGTGAAAAGGGGCTGGGAGGGCAGGGGTGGGTGTTGCTGGCTCCATGGATTTGACTGTTCCCTTAGAGCACTGATGGGGACTGTGTGGGGCCTGGGGGGAGCACGGGACCCAAGGAAGCACTGACGAGCAGAAATCCCAGCTGTGAAGCTGAAACAGGCAGCTGAGGGAAGGGGTGGGTTTGTTTTTTGACTGGGCTGCCACTAATTGAGCAGAGGGATTGCTCTTTTTGCCAACCTTTTTTCAGTAATGCCACTGATCAGGCTCTTCTTTTAGATGGATCTAATCACAGGGCAGCTGAGTTTCCAGCTGGGATATCTTAGCATATATACTATAGCATTTAACTGTCTGAGCAGTCTACTGTGCCTATACCCCTCACTCATGTATTGTTTTTAGTAATTATTAAACCTGTGTAAAAATGTGAAGCTGGTTCAGGTTGGAGGGGTGGAAAAAAAAAAAACCCCACAAAAAGTGCTTTAATAGACATAACTATTTTTCCTGAACCAGGAATTTACAATGTTACAAATGCAAGGTTTTGGCATGTGAAGGGCTGGTTTTCAATTTGTTGCTACAAGGCTGCCAAAATGTCAGTATGGATTCCTACAGGGCCTTTGGGGGCAGGGAGGGGGGCTCTTTTCTTTTTTGCTGTCCATTTCAGTTCTAGTCAAAATAATTATCTATATATATACATATAATTTTTTTTTTTTGGTCTTTGTATAATGCCGGTACATCATTGTGTATTGTGACATGGATGCTGTCAGAATGGATGTTTGATGGCATTTTTGTAACCTGTTGCTTTGTGTCACCTCATTGGAAGTTAGCAGCAATGGTACTCAATGTAAACAAAGCAGACTTGAACTGAAAGTAAACACACTGGATTGCTTACCTGTGGAGAAGTCACTGTCAGCAAAACAGCAAACACACCTGCACATGATTTTTATTTCACTCACCCTGCCTCTGCTATCACCTGGCAGGGCACCAGGGTGTAAGGCAGTAGCCCAGCTACCCTCAGGAGCCTGATAATCTCTTTTCAGCTGATTTTCTTTTTTCTTCCAAAGTAATTCCACTGGCAGGTAAATAGGTGCACACTTCTTTGATCACTATTTTATCATGGTATTGGTTACAGGAGAAAGTGTCTTTCAAACTGTCCCATGTATATTGTGCAAAACTGCACAGACTTAACATAATTATCAGATAAAACAGGTCCTGTGAGGGGTACTAAACAAACAGACCCCCACACACTAAATGGGTGTGATATGCATTTCCCTTCCCTCCTGTTTCCAGGCACCCAATGCTACTCCCACTGCTCCCGCTAATCCCAGTCCCAGAGCAGGGATGCTGTTTCTCCAAGCACAAAATGGATGCAGAAGGGAAGAACACCCTGTTTCAGGGAGCCAGTTGGTGACAAGAAACTCTTCAATGGTGCACATTTTTCCCTCATTTCACTGGTGTGCCTCAGCTGGAGGGCCTGCCATTCCAGTAGGAACAGCAAAGAGTTGTCTGGCCTAAACTGAACAGAAAACAGAATTATAAATGAGTGCTTGGCCATTTAGACCTCGCCTCCATGCTTTTTTTAAAACAAAAAATGTATTTCAGAGTTTCATTCTATGTTTACTCAGCAAATGTGTTCATATCCCTTTAGACAACTGGTTGGAAAAAAAAAAAAAAAACAACCCACAAATGTTCTTTTCCATCTGTTGTCTCCTCCCTCCTGCTGGCCATTGCCCATTGAGCCAATACTCATTCTGTATCACACACCAGGGTAAGCAGGTTACTGCTAAATCATCGCTGTGCCCACAAAATATCACAGTGCTGTAACAGAAGCTTGGCAGAATGTGGCAGGGTACAAAATTGCTGCAAAGGTGCCAAAATCACATTGTTGCAAAGGACACTGAGCAGCCTGGATTTACTAGACAGTATTTGAATGCGTGTCAGAAATTTTTCCATTTGCACAGCAGCAGGTGAGTATTTTTCCTTTAATAGCTGCTTAATCACAAAGTCAATTACAATGAAAACTCCATCAGAACAATACTTTTTCCTACCCCACACAGCATGCAAGACTGTGTAAGTGGACATGTGGGATGGCAATGGAAACCACCTCTCCCAGCATTCAAGACATGAGTAAAGCAATAAATGAGCCTGGAAGACACTGTGGTTCAGAAGACTCATGCAGAGCCTTTTAGTCTGAATTTTGGCATCATAATTTTGGCATTACCTCATCATACCCCTTCCTGTAAGTGTAAGTCCAAAAGAACATTGTTTTGGACTTATGCTTCATGTTAATATTGTTTCCAGCATCTGCTAAAATAAAACCCTCCCATCATCACAGCTGTGAAGCTATCTGAAGCTTCAGGTTTGGTAATAGATCTTTGGAACTATGAGCCTCATGTCCAAAGCTCTGCTGACACTATTGATGCTCTTTATTGATCTGCTGCTCTTCCAGCATCTACTGACCCAGATGTCTGTAAAAGCAGCTCTGTGCTGTGAGTGACCATTAAGTGAAACCAGGGCAGGTTTTCTCATGCTGTGTGTGTGCTGCCATGGAAGTAAAAAATAAGTAAACTTAACATGACTTTGAAATGGTAGGAAGCTTTTACAGGCATGTGTGAAAGTGTGGCCTCTCTGAGCACATCCTGTGCAGCGAGCCCTGACATCCTTGGGTCTTCAGAACTGTTTTGTTCAAACCTCACCAAAAGATTAAGAGCAGGTCAGGAAGCCTTATTCATACTTTATTTCAGTTTAATGTTTGGCCCTTTTTCCCTACACCAAACTAGGATGAATGTCCCCTGTCAAATAATCAACATCATCATCTTATGCTCTAAAATGGCCCTTCCCTCCCTTCTTTAACCACAGTCACACCACTTGCCCCTCACTTCTAACTTTTGAAGGGTTTGTGCCAGAACTGTAATTTCATGGAGGCAGGCAAAAGCTGCTATTTCAGCCATTTCTTGTGAGAGAATAATGTTGTTAGTGCTCTTGACATGGATGGGAGCAGAGTGGGTTGAGCTTTGCTGCTGCTGTGACAGGCACCAGTGGGGATTAGGAATCTTCTAAGAAGGCTATTTTCACTCATCTCCTCTCCTTATCTGCAAATATTACCAAGGAGTCGAAGTATAGACTCATATCCTGATGCTCATTTTGGTCTGAAAACTGAGGAAGTAGAGGCCAAACAACCTAAGCAACTCAGAAAGTGAAAAAAAAAATAAAGCCAAGACAAAGGCACTTATTAGAAAAAAGCTGTCATAGCTGCAGTAGAAATTTAAAGTCTGTGAAATATTTAAACACAGAACCAAAATAGATTCCCTCTCATTTGAACTTCTCCTATATAATGTTGGTGCTTTTATGTAGAGGGGGGAAACTGATCTCAAAACTATTCCCTTAAATACTTTTGATGCATCAGAACCTTAAACAGGGCTGGTTTAGACACCAGACTCAACACAGTAGAAAAACCAGGCTCCTATGAAAGGGTAATTTGGCCAGAAAATTGAGTTCCCATTCATGATCATGTTTCTTTTATGATTGAAATACAAGAAAATCAGTGGTCATACCTGCTTGAACAGGGTCTGGTATGAAAGCCATAAATTGCTTCTGGCTATGAACTGAAAACTCAAAATGCCTTCGCTCCCATGTTAAAATAAAAATTCTGTGACTTACAGTTTTCCTAATTAGAAAGAATTTGCATCCTACAGGTATTCATGGATTCTTTTGTTTGTTCCCTTAAATTATCAAAATTCTGAAGTTCACAAGCACTAATGAACACACTGAGAGCTCTGCACATTTCAGACTATCATTATAATTTTGGATATGATATTTCTATTGCTTCATAAACCATTTATTCCTGCACACATTAGTCATGCATATATGCACTTATTTTCCAACCCCACTCAGAACAACAACAACAAAAAAACAAAACAAAACAAAAAAATCAGACAGCAAGCCACCAATTTGTATAAAATCTCAGAGATCACAGATTGTCTGAGCAACATTTGAATTGCTAGGTGGTAAGTAACCTGCTCCACCCATCAGTGTTGGTTGGAAGTGTTCTTCCAGAATTAAATGTGAGGTTTCACAGTGGTTTGCTCTCCCCATGGTGTCCCAAGGGAACAAGCAGCCCAAAGAAGTGGGAAGAAGTGCCTTGCTGATGCTAAAGGGTTTGTGCTTTGAAAGCATGGAACTGCTGAGTGAACACAGGCTGCTAAAACACCCTCCCTCCACCCAGTTAAAAAGGCAGATTGATAGCAGAAAAATAGTAAATTACTCTCTCTTATCAAATGTCTAATAAGGCACTGATTTTGGCATTTAAAAAGCTGCTTTGTTTCCTTCTCAAAGACATATCACATCCTTCTAAAATATTAGTAGCAAAAAAATAAGCCTCACTGATCAAATCCTAGAGAAAATATTTTGAATGAGACACTACATTTTACTACTGTTTTCCTTCTAACTGTGGAATATTTTGAAGAAAACATTTCATTTTAATTTGAGGAACCCCAAATGAGATCTCCTTCTGATTTTTTATGACTGCCAACAAAAAGAAAATTCAAATACTGCACAGCAGCATAAGAGTGACGCTCCCTGCAGTGCTTTAAAGCAGCAAGGAAATTCCAGCAAACAGGGAAATATTTGCCTTAACACCATTCAGATTTCCCAGACTGTAGCACAGATATCATAGTGGTTAGTTCAGCAAAGTTTAAAGGGTAAATAGAACTCAAGGAGTACTTGGTTATTAATTCATTAGTAGTTTAGAAACTGTGAAAAAGAAAAAGACACAAACCAACCAACCAACCCCCAAGATGGTTCTGCTTATCCCTTCAGTGTGTGGAAGGGCTTTCCTCTTTTTCCCCCCCAAGTATCTCCCAGGGTGCCTCTGAACACGTTCAGACTTGTCTGGCATTTTCTAAACATAATCTACACAGAAACCCAGCTTCAAAAAAAACCCAAACAGTTGTGAAGCCACCTCTTTTCTCTCAGAGGTGGAACCTGAGCTTTCCCCCCAACACCTCAGGGTGCCAAACTCCACAGAGTCTGGGATGTCCCAGAGTTGGTGCCTCTTTCTGGGCAAAAGCAAACCATGAGCTGCATGCTGAAATAAAAGCCAGCAGAAGGGATGAATATTGGCTTCCTATTTTGGAAATTATCAGGGGAGTAGAGGTGCAGGTTACCACCACAGTGTTTTTTAGAGAATCAGACATCCTTCCCATGAGAAAAGGCAGGGAATCTTAAGTTTTAAATAAGAATTTCAAAAACCTTTTAAAAAAGTTCCTCCTGCTGCACTTACAAGTAATGGCATTTATCACTTATCAGCCCATTTCTGTTAAGGCCATGTTTATGCAGACAGGCATAAAAATGTAAAAACATAACATGGACACACAACCAACCACACAGAAGTAGTATTTGCGAGGACATTTACAATAAATGGCACTAACACCTTTATTAAGATTTTAATTTTTCATGTGTGAAAAATGAATAGATTATTTTTTTCCCTTGTATGCAGAGGAAAAGCAAACTAATGGCAAAAACCAAGATTACTTTCTTATTTCAATACTGTCTTTGTAGCCGCAAAGATACAATAATTTAACAGACAAGAAATACTGTTTATTGCAGACTTTAAGCTGATTCATGTGAAAAAGGCACTATGAAACTTAATCAAACTAGATGATTAAATTTGTCTAAATTAAGTGATATTATATATCATATATAATACATATATTATATATAAAATCACATCACCATGTGAAACAGAACATTTTGTGACAAAAGTCATTGCATCTCCAAAAATAGCATTTTCTGGAAGGGATATTTCTCTTTTCTTTTTTCCCCTGTTTTGCCTTCAGGAATCCACTTTTCCAAAAGATTACATTTATAAAGGAAATTACAAAGGCTTTTTG